CTCCTCTGTAATGTGTTGAGAGTTCCCATCTGCATTTTCACACCGGAAGATTAAGGTCTTACTATATATTACTAAGAAACGTGGGCATCTGTACAAGTAACTTATGCAGCCCTGCTTCTGCTGTAATCTGTGACATGAACCATGATCAACTGTGGCCCACAGCCTACAAAAAGCACCATGAACCCAAGACCTATGCTGTAACATACAGCACAAGCAAGGAAGCAAAACAGGATGATAAGCTTTTCTCTTGTCTTTCAAAAAAGAGAGAAGAATAAATGGGTCTTCAGGTTGTATTTTACCAAGAGGTTGCCAAAAGCAATGTTTTTACAATACCTGGTAACATTTCCAGTGAATGCAAATCACCGTCGGACTGTAAAACTAAGGGGCAAGATACATGATTTGAAATACCCGTGTCATGACCAATGTCCTGACCTGACTCACGTTATACATTCAAGCAGGGACTAATGTTTAAAAAGCGATATGTTTGGCTGCAAAGAGGCTTTGTTTTTCTCTCCTGTGGCATTTTTGCCACCAGAAATGGTACTAGGGAGCCTGTTTGCCCCCTCCTCTAGCTTCACTTGTCCTGGGATGGACATACGGTGCCAAAGAAAGGGGTTAACGGGGCACCTCCAGCATAATTTCTGGTGGTGAAAATACTGTCGGAGGGAAGCCCAAAGTCCCTCACTTCCTTGCTCCCCATTTGCAGCCAAATGGAGAAATGTAAAGCTTTTTAAATGTGAGTCCCTGCTTAAAGGTCTAACCATGAGTCAGGTTAGGAACCTGTGTCCTGATGTGGGTATTTCATATTGTGTATTTTGGCCCTACGGTGTCCACTTGCAGCTGACCCTGTGGAATGTTTTCTTATTCCAGTTTCACAGAACAGTGGCTGAATGATGACAGAAGCCAGCTCCATTATCCAAACTAACCATCACTTTCGTATCAGAGCTGAAATGGTCCCTCTGACATATGTTTTGATTTTCTGTCCCTCCTTATACCTCGGCTGAGTTACAAAGGGCCATATAGGATTTTTATTTTTATCCCTTGGTTGGAATGGGAGGTTCCTTGCTATGTTACAAGCTTGGCCAGGAGCTCCCCTTCCTAGGGACAGGAGTTGTCCTCCAAGAGTTTTTGCAAGCACAGCTTCCCTAGCTCCCAAACACTTAGCTTGTTGGAGCTTGCATTTGTTGTTGTTCTCTAGTCTATTTATTATCTGTTTGTATTGGTGTTCTCCATTGGCAAAGAAGGCCACGTGGGGGTGTTTCTAGGAACTAACTACCTTTTGGAGTGGCCCATCCCTCCTACAGAGGCAGGGCTAGCACTCGTCTTTTATCTAATGAGAAGGCAGTTTCCAAAGTGATTGGCCATAGTGTAAGGAACAGGGCTGATTGTCCAGAAACAATGGTTTAATTACCCTTTGAGAACACAGACCCTAGCTGAGAGACTCTTTGGGCCCTTGCCCTTAGATTCTGCTTCTGGAAATTGGAAGTAAACCTTCCTCCAAAAATTCTGCTTTTTTGGATTAATGAAAATAAAAAACCAGGCTATTAAATTATACAAACAATGCCATTATTAATGTAATAACTGCTTTGCTTTTCTACAGCTTCCTTAATACAAAGATCTACAATTCATTAACAGTCACAGGTATGGACAGCTCTCTCTCCCCATTCAGCCTGGGCAAAGCTATCTGTTCCACCATGAACCCAGAAAGATAGCAATAGACTAACACTCCCTTTTGGAAATATTACACGACTGATGCGTTTATCATTTTTTAAGTTGGAGTCTTTTTGGAATGCTTTTCTATGGATCACATCATGCTTTCCCGTTAAAGCAGGTAAATAAACCTTTATGCAAAGTGTATTGTAGGAGACTTACAGGTGCAATTCTACACAGGGTTACACCCTTCTAAGTCAATTGAAGTCAACTGGCTTAGAAGGATAATAAAACAAATATCCAGTGGCATCTTAAAGACTAACATTTTATCTCAACATGAGTTTGCATGAGTCACCGCTTCAAGGAAGTGAGCCGCTCATAGTGAAATAAATGTTGTTAGTCTTTAAGGTTCGCTGGAGTTTTGTTTTGTTTTATTGTAACAGAGTAACATGACTACCCTCTTGCAATCATATCAAATTCTTAGCAACCAATGGCACTGTCAGTATAACATAAGGGCACATTTCATTTCCTTTATCAATGGGATCTCAGGAACACAAATTATCATAATAAAAATAAATGGGACAAGATTTGCAAAGTGCTTGGTATACCAAAAGGGAATAAAGAAAATAATACAATATAAATATTCATAGAAAGTGGCAGAATGGCTGGAATTATAAAATAACACTGCTGACATACTGTTGCAGTTTTTCTCACTACTGCCCAAGAGAGACCTCTTTGGGAGCTTGTTCAGACTCCTATCCTACTCCTGAACAGCTCCAGATGAAGTGTGAACACATCACTGAAGATATAATTAACACCTAATTCCTAGCAATTCACAGTCTATCAATAATTTAACAAATTCCATGGAGATCTAGACATTTGCACACTGCTCTGTCTTGGGAAGAGTCAAAAGCAGATCTTTGCATAGCCATACTTTGTGCTTTTGGTATAATGAAAGGGAAACTTGTGCACCTCCCTTGTGGCAATGCAGGGACATTGCATTACTCCATCAGTTCAAGGTGCAATGACAACACACTGGCCAGAATCCAAACAACTCCACATATATATGGCAAAGTACATCAGTGCTGTCATGAGTACGGGAGGGGAGGAAATGGCTGATTCCCTTTCTGGCAGTAGCCACTTGCACCTAATGGAATACAGTACTGGAGGATAGCTTTTCAGGATGTATAAAGCTGTAATAAAAAGAGAATAGCAAAAAAGCCTGTGCACACGCATAAATGATCACCTGGGACCCTTTAGATCCTGGCTAGTCCCATTACCTCCAAGCAATGTTATTCTGAACTGCATTATATCCAGTGGAGTGTCTTTTCTTTTCTTTTTCTTTTTTTTACAGAACATAGCGTTACAATAACTAGAATACTGGCAATAAGTTTCTTTATATGTACTTGATGTCACACATTTCCCCCCTCTCCCCATGTACTAAGGTGGGTCAAAATAAAGTTTTTAATACCAATACAAATAAATTAATAGATAGTGCAAAGTCACTTTCAAAATGGAAACAGGTAGTTTTACCCAGGAATTGTGGCCACTAATCAGAGCCAGGTGAGTAGTATACTAAAGAGAAAAAAAGGTTAGGTGACACAGGAAAGATCTAAGATTAAAAGGGGAGAGAAAAACGTAATATACCACATTGCATTCTGTGGACTGTGCAGAACGAACTGTAGACATTTGTTGCATATTGTTTGGAAGCATCTCTGAAGTGTCTGGAGGCAGCCTAGGTGGATGTTGTTGGCTTTCAGGCTCTGCTTTGTGATCTGGGATGGGAGCTATCTGAATGGAGAGAGATGCTTTGTGTATCTCAGGCACAGGGTTACAGGCAGGTGATACAGGCCTCTGAGGAGTTGCTGGTGCTTCAAGGGGCACAGCCTGTTCTGTATGACACGGAAGACTACGGGATGCGTTTCGTGCCCGAGTTAATTTCAGGGCTGAAACTCTGCGTTTTTGGGACTGCTGCTTCTGGCCTTGACGAACAGTAGTTCTAATGCCAGCTATTGTTTTTGTGCTGGAAACTGAGGCCAGTGGCTTAGTTAATTTTTGTGTATAAGAGATACTGGTGTTCGATTTTTTAGAACAAACTGCCCTGCGAACAGACTCCTTGTTAGTAAAGTAGTCAGCATCAGTAGGGGATTTCTTAATTTGCTTGGTTGTTATGGTCTGGGAGTTAGCATCACTCTTCTTGTGCTTAGGTATTCCAGATCTTCCAAAACTGTCCTTCCTAGGAGGTAGAGGGGGTGCCTTATTTGCCAAAAGCATCCACGCAAAACCACCACCAACAAAATAATATTGCAGGGGGAAAAAGAGAGAAAACAAAATGTTAGCAGGAAAGCAAACTGAGTTAAGAAATGTCACTTTAAATAGAGAGACTGATCCAGCCACAGATTTTGAATCAGACCTCAACTTACACTAACATGCCAGATAACCACAACTTATTTTGACTGAGGAGCGGGTGGAAATCAGAGATTGCATTTATTAATACAAAGACCACTGAATGGTCCATATGATCTAGTTATATGAAGCAAAGTTTTCTTTTGGATCAGTATTACTTGCTTACCAGTTTATACTGATAATATGTCATTATACAGCATTCAGATTATACTGATAAAAACTGGTATATCTTGTAACTACTATTCTAAAGGAATAAATAAAGGTCTATACAATGCTTCTGATTTAGAGGAATCACTCAAAGAATGGATTAAATATTTCCAGATTAAGCATAATGTACTGAATGGTCCAGGTTAGCCTGATCTCATTAGATATCAGAAGCTAAGAAGGGTCAAGAGACCATAAAGGAAATCGAGGGTTGCTATTCAGAGGCAGACAATGGCAAACTACCTCTGTTCACTATCTCTTGCCTTGAAAACCCAACAGGGTTGCTATAAATTGGCTGCAGTTTGACAGCCCTTTCAATCACTACTCTTTTTTGGTAGAAACGTTCTGCATAACATTTCTGTTCCAACAAAAACGATAACTTAATTTCCCCCCCAGTAAAGACTGCATATTTTTGAAACAATAAACAGTAGAGTAAGGCAATCATAACAGACATGCATTTTAAGTCCTGATGAATGTTTCATTAGGTGTATACTTTGCTATTTGTAAGGACATTACTGCACGAGCACACCTGCAGCTATACATCAAACATGGCAGAAGAGTCACACGTATGGCCACAGCTACAGACAAAACCACAAGCTAACAAATACAGATCATGTTAGGAAAGCATGATAAAAACATCAGACAATCTGCACGGAATTACCTCTACCTATTATTTTGTGGAGTACCAGTATTAAGGTTTTGACTGTCACAAGTGTGATTCTGCACGTCTGCTATTTTACCTGAACTGGCGATTTCTTTTCTTGTAGATTTGGACGGACACTTCGAAAGCCTTTTGCTGCAAGAGAGGAACTGCTAGTGTCTCCATTCAGTGTCTCTCTACTCCCATTGTTAAATGATCTCCAAGCTTTAACATGGAAAAAAAATCCAAGCACATTTATTCCTAATAAAGAATTCTTTTGGTTATGTCAACAATTTAAATGAGTTTTATACAATGGGTTGAAGCTATATAATAATGGCACAGGCTGACACCAGAATGAAAAATATATGTGCACCAGTCACAAACGGCAGATCTCATTGGCTCAGGAAGTCACTGGAAGCATCACTGTGCCCACGCCTGGATCAGATGAGTATATTGCTTGTATTTTTTTAAAAACATGGGCTTGTAAGGATTTCTCAATGTAATAGGCTCTAAATCAGAGCCAATGTAGCAGAGATAGGAGCTAGGTAACACAGATGCTAATTCCTACTAAGCCACAAAGCTTAGTATTTTAGTAAATTCCCCATCCCCCACCATGCTCCATTTTTGGTTTTTTTTGTTTGTTTTTAATATGTGCATATGTGAGTGTGTGTGCACCTGGAAGTCATGGCGACCTCTAGTGACTGACCCCTACTGGGGGCCTGGAGAATATTCAGAGAGGTTGCTGAATAAAGCCTGCCTCCCTGTCTACAGGGAGGTGACTGCCTACCAGCACCCCAGGCTAGTTGTCATCCGGCTTCCTTCCGTGGCTTCAGATATTGGTGTCCTGGTGCCCTTTCTGGAGCCGATCTTCCCCGAGCAGCTTCCTCCAGCAGGTCTCGTCTTGGCGCGTGGTTCTGTGCTGGCTGCAGTTCTGGCTACTGTCCACAGGTGGCTCTGCCGCGCTGCGCCGCACGTCACCACGCTCTCCAAGGCTCCACTTCTCTGGGCTCCGCCTCCGCCATTGCTCCACCGGGTTGCCAGGAACTGCTCTGTCGCCATTGTTGCCGCTTGCCGCCGCCGAACCCTCTACCTCACAGGAAGGAGGGGTGCCCCCTGCCACCTAGGGCAGGTACCCACTTTATCTACTTGCATTTATGATGCTTTCGAACCGCTGGGTGGACGAGAGCTGGGACGTGGGCCGGGAGCTCACCCCGACCGCGGTGGGTTTCGAACAGCCGTAATGGCTATTCACTGATGTTACTTTGTAGGCGTTCTTACTGCCTGTGCCACCGCTCCCTCCTGGTATTTCAAGGACGTCTCCCATCTAAGTACTTGTCAGAGTCGACCCTGCTTAGCTTCTGAGATCTGACAAGACTAGGCTTGCCTGGGCTATCCAAGTCAGGGCCATGCTTCATTTTCAAGCGGGGATGCCTAATTCCCCTACTCTCTCCTTTAATGTCTAATATATTCAAATCCTCTTGTGACTCCATGTTCTTATCAGTGCCAGCTGATGAAGAGTGCAATGGCACTTGAAGCATGATGACATCACATGCCGAGAGAGGAGACTTCTGGAAGCATCTCTGTGTCTTTGTACACCTAGTTCCACACTTGGGAAATGGCCTTCAGAAAAAGGATGCCCAGAACAATGACTCAGGCAGAGTGAGATCCTCTAAGAATGGCTGGTGCTTACATACTGTAAACTTACACCTCTCTGGGTTAAGAGTAAATTTTGCGTCCAGCTTCAGAAACTAGGCAATCAGAGGCATGAGACACTGATAGGGAGTGAAAAAAGCTAAGTGTACACATGTAGCATCCTTTAGAGAACAGGACTGTGCACCTGTGGGGATGGGAAGCCAGAATCTAGTGAACATGTTTTATTTGAGTGTAAACTTTACCAAAATATTAGAACTGCCTATATAATGCCGATTTGTAATTATTTCCCTGGGAAGAATATCAGATTTTACCTAGACAAGTTCTTAGCTGATAAGAGACCAAAAGATTGCCCTAAATGTGGCAAAATTTACTAGACAAGCTATAAGATTCCGGAAGGAATTTGTAGAGGGAAGCATCTAATTGGCCTACTGCTAGAAAAGTCCTGAGTTTTATGTCATATGTCTCAGTATGAATATATATTTTACTCACAGTGTGTATGTTATCTGATTGGTCTCTGACCATATTAAATTCTTCTTGTCTTGTCTATGCCTTATAAAAACTATTAAAACACAGCTCTTGAACTTTTTTATTATTATTATTTAACAGAATAGGGAAAGTTAATAACAAACTGTGGAATTTCCCCTTCCATCCAGTTTTCTGAGGAGATTTTAAGGATGCTGGTGGATACTCCGTGAATAATTCTATAGGTTGTGCCCTTCTGTTAGAAAAACAGATGATTATTTCAGTGCTTCATGAGGTAAGATCTGGCTCAGATGTCAAGCCATGTCTTTTTATCACTGGCAGTTGTACAGGATTCGCTGATCCTTTTAGGGACCAATAAAGCTGTTAACTCAGTTTCTATTTCCCTGCAGCTTCCTAATTGAAAAGGATATTGAACACTTCCTGGTCTAAATTACTGCAGTGCTGGTGTGTAATATAAGGTCATTTGGGTTGGGCAGTTTGAAGCAAGCTGCTAAGACACGAGCAACAATATTGATTAGTTATTATCAATTACATAGAACTGGCAAAAACTGCATAAGAAGCAGGCAGAAAAGCAATTCCTTGAAGATCAGAGGTTTAGACAGTTCTCCAAATTAGTATCATTTGTGAAGGGAAACTATGACAGGAAAAGGCATGCACTCTTCATTCCATTCAGAAGCAAAGCTGCTGCATTCTCCCTTAAAGAAAATTGCATTTACCTGAGTCTGGAGACTGAGAATCAAGTCCTAGAAAAAAGAAAACACACATCTTAGTGTTCGCTAAGTGCTGCTAATGTTCTTATGGCATGCTACAACTATGACACTTGGGACCATACACTTACCAAACACAATTCAAGTGTCTCACACTCTCTGTTAAAACAAATAGTAATGCTACAGCAGTGTATGTGATCAAGGCCCCGGTCACACGGGCAGGAAACCAGTGTATGTGATCAAGGATTTTTCTTCTTTAGGCTGAAATCTTAAAGCATGCTTTCTTGGGAGTAAGCCCCATTGAATTCAGTAGGACTTACTTCTAAGTAAACAGGTATAAGAGTCAGGGTGCATGCCTCATTCTGCTTTCTCTCCTTGGCCAAAGTTCCCTCTGGCTTTGGTTATGAGAACTGGCTCTGAACACCCACAAATCAGCCCAACACACAAGAACACTCCAATTTTACACAATGTGCATTTGTAATTACCTATGCAATAAGATGGCAGTCAGGTGATTGATAATATGAATACAAGGTCTCTGAGAGCCTCAAGTGACCTCTCACACTGGTGCAGCAACCGGTGTTAGAGGGACAGCCCAGAAATTGTGAAGCCCATCCCTGGGGCATGGCTTCATCCACTCCTCATCCCCCTCCAGATGAAAGTGATGCCTGCTGTTTATCTTAACTCTACTTTTTAAAGCCCACTGTTGAAGCCAAGTGGAGCCCTCTGCTCCTGCTTTCTTAGGAGAGCTCCTCCCAGTTTGCCAAGCCCAGTATTGCAGTCAGACCTCTAGGCTTTACAGCCAGCTGCAGTTCAAAATCTCCCAAGCTGGAATGGAGTGCTGGCCGAAAACATGAATGAACCAGAAACATCAAAGGAAACCATGGGCTGGCCGCAGGATGGCTTGACTGCCAAGGACAAAGTAAGTGGATCTACTCAGGGGTAAGTTCCATTTTATTCAGTGGGGCTTACTCCCAAGAAACTGTTCTTTGGATTACAGCCTAATTGGTTTGGGATGTTTAAGAACTTGATAGAACAAATTTTGAGTCCAGTGGGACCTTTAAGATCAACAAAGGTTTATTCAAGGCATGAACTTTCATGCGCGTGCACACTTCTTCAGATACTGATAAAACACTTCTACTTAAGGGGCACTTTTGTGCCAGTGATGATGGCTAATGTTTTGAGAAACCAGCTTCTTCTTCTTCTTCTTCTTTTTTTACTGAATGTTAAGTGCTTAAATTGTGGGGTGCAGTTTTTGTTAAATAACACAAACCTATTCTCTACTAGCTCAAATGCAAATACAGCTGCAGAAAAAAAAACAGGAGGAGTAAATAGGGTAGAATTTCACCCACAGTTACTTGCCCAGTTATTGTTTTCTTAATTGTTTCAGATCAGAGATGCTGAGAATAGTAATCATTCTATTATTACTTAACTAAGTGGGGTGCATATCCTATTCCTCCACTCAGCCAACTGTGACATCTTTTCTCTGGCACAAGGAGCCTCCCTCTTGTTCAAGAGGCTCTTCTGGTGGCTGATGAACCTCTAGTACCCGAGAAAGTGTGGCCATTAGCTGAATGGATACTGTCCACTGTGTTGGGGGAGGGGAAGTTTACTGAAATACTAAGCGAAGCAGTCATTTTGTGAGGTTATTTCCACTGTAACAAGGGTATCTACTGATAAAGACAAAGCCCTGCTATGGTGCTTGTCTCCATGGAAATAGATTTAAACAAAAACCTTGCTTCATCCATTAGTCTGTGATTAATGATGCAAGGGAGTTTTAAAATGCATTGCAGATTATTCTGTAGACATCTTAATCTATTTAAAGGCGCAATGTGATAACTGTTTGTTAGGGTCTATATAGAAACATATTTGTCCTTTGCAAATTTCCTGAATTTCCTAAAACAACACATTAGAAGAGAGCTACAGAGCTTGCACTGATTAACTAGAATCATTTTTTTCCTTCTGTTATCTATGCACAGCTTGGGTAACTGTATCAGAGGAAAATGTTCCTACTGTTTACAGTCCCATTACATTACACCTTCTAAAGTGTACACTTTTACAGGCAGGGAGCACAAATCTGATAGGCAGCCTGGCTACAGATTACTGATCCATTTAGCCAGACTCCATAGGCAGGGGGTGGCCACTGTCCAGTTAGGGCATGGCCGGCCGGCCCAGGGCTATCCCACACTCAAGATGGGTGGTCTCCTTGCCCAAGTGCTGGAGGAAGTGGCCAGTGTACTTTGGGGTTAGATTGATCCAGTGAGAGTGGGAAGGAGGTGGGAAGGCATGATGCATGCTCAGCGCTGTTTACTTTATCGCTGTCTCCTGTGTGTTCATGAGGGTGAAATCATGGATGATGGCCTCTGCCAAGCCTCTGATGCTGTTCCATCAAACGGGGTATGAAGTAAACAGTGGTACTTTCATATTTCAATCTCTGAAAACCTATAAGAAGTTTTAGTAAATTAATGACAAGCAAATATGTAATACAGAAAACAGATTCTTGTCAAGTGCTACCTTTTTTGTTGTTGTTCAGTCGCACAGTCGAGTCCGACTCTTCGCGACCCCATGGACTAGATCCCGCCAGGCCCTCCTGTCTTCCGCTGTCCTCTGAAGTTTGCTCAGTTTCATGTTCGTTGCATCTCTGACACTGTCTAACCATCTCATCCTTTGCCGTCCCCGTCTTCTTTGACCTTCAATCTTTCCCAGCATCAGGGTCTTCTCCAGTGATTGCTCCCTTCTCATTTGGTGGCCAAAGTATTTGAGCTTCAGTTTCATTATCTGACCTTCCAGGGAACAGTCAGGGTTGATTTCTTTTAGGATTGACTGATTTGATCTTCTTGCAGTCCAAGGGACTCTCAAGAGTCTTCTCCAGCACCATAGTTCAAAAGAATCTATTCTTCGGCACTCGGCCTTCCTTATAGTCCAACTCTCACAGCCATACATGACTACTGGGAATACCATTGCTTTGACCATGCGGATTTTTGTTGGCAAGGTGATGTCTCTACTTTTTATCATGCTGTTTAGGTTCGCCATCGCTTTCCTCCCAAGGAGCAGGCGTCTTTTAATTTCATGGCTACTGTCACAGTCTGCGGTGATCTGGGATCCCAGGAACGTGAAGTCTGTCACTACTTCCACGACTTCCCCTTCTATTTGCCAAGGAGTGATGGGGCCGGATGCCATGATCTTAGTTTTTTTGATGTTGAGCTTCAAGCCCACTTTTGCGCTCTCCTCTTTTACCCTGAGCAAGAGGCTCTTTAGGTCCTCTTCACTTTCTGCCATTAGAGTGGTATCGTCTGCATATCTGAGGTTGTTGATCTTTTCCCCAGCAATCTTAATTCCCGCTTGTGATTCATCCAGGCCAGCATTTCGCATGATGTACTCTGCATATATATTAAATAAGCAAGGCGACAATATACATCCTTGTCGTACTCCTTTTCCTATGCTGAACCAATCAGTTGTTCCATATCCGGTTCTAACTGTCGCTTCTTGGCCCTTATACAGGTTTCTCAAGAGACATGTGAGGTGGTCTGGTACTCCCATCTCTTTAAGGACCTGCCATAGTTTGTTGTGATCCACACAGTCAAAAGCTTTAGCATAGTCAATGAAGCAGAAGTAGATATTTTTCTGGTACTCTCTTGCTTTTTCCATAATCCAGCGAATGTTGGCAATTTGATCTCTAGTTCCTCTACCTCTTCGAAACCCAGCTTGTACTTCTGGTAGTTCTCTATCCACGTACTGTTGAAGCCTAGCTTGTAGGATCTTGAGCATGACCTTGCTAGCGTGTGATATGAGTGCAATTGTGCGATAGTTTGAACATTCCTTGGCATTGCCCTTCTTTGGGATTGGAATGTATACTGACCTTTTCCAATCCTGTGGCCACTGTTGCGTTTTCCAAATTTGCTGGCAAATGGAGTGCAGCACTTTAACAGCATCATCTTCTAAGACTTTGAATAGCTCAGCTGGAATACCATCACCTCCACTAGCTTTGTTGTTAGCAATGCTTTCTAAGGCCCATTTAACTTCACATTCCAGGATGTCTGGCTCGAGGTCAGTGATTATACCGTCGTGGTTGTCAAGGACATCGAGGTCTTTCTTGTATAGTTCTTCTGTGTATTCTTGCCATCTTTTCCTAATCTCTTCTGCTTCTGTTAGGTCCCTACCGTTTTTGTCCTTTATCATGGCCAGCTTTGCATGGAACGCTCCCTTGATTTCTCCAACTTTCTTGAAGAGATCTCTAGTCCTTCCCATTCTATTGTTTTCTTCTATTACTTTGCACTGTTCATTCAGGAAGGCCTCCTTATCTCTCCTTGCTGTTCTCTGGAAATCTGCGTTCAGTTGGGTAAATCTTTCCTTTTCGCCTTTGCCTTTCGCTTTCCTTCTTTCCTCTGCTATTTGTAAAGCCTCATCAGAAAGCCACTTTGCTTTCTTACATTTCTTTTTCTTTGGGATGGTGGTGATTGCTGCCTCCTGTACGATGTCACGAACCTCTGTCCATAGTTCTTCAGGCACTCTATCTATCAAATCCAGACCCTTGAATCTATTCTTCACCTCTACTGTATATTCATCAGGGATGCGATCTAGGTCAAACCTGAATGGCCTCGTGGTTTTCCCAATTTTCTTCAGTTTAAGTCTGAATTTTGCAATGAGTAGCTCATGATCTGAACCACAGTCAGCTCCAGGTCTTGTTTTTACTGACTGGATAGAGCTTCTCCATCTTTGACTGCAAATTATATAGTCAATCTGATTTCGGTGTTGCCCATCTGGTGATGTCCATGTGTAGAGTCGCCTCTTAGGTTGTTGGAAAAGGGTGCAAAAAGATTTAAACTAGTTCTTTCTACTTGAGCGACCACAGTAATAAAATAGAAAAGCCTAAGGCAGTATTCTGTTTCATCATGCAGCCAGCACTCCAAATTTCTCTGCACAATTCGCAAATCACTTATATTCACACAATTATACCTAAACAAGATATTAGTCCCACTAAATAAAACTTGGACCCACTTCATAAGTTATCAGTGGCTGCTGTATACTTTGCACAGTGGAAGAACAGCAGGGTGCCTGCTTAGGGTGTGTAGCATGCCTCCACGAGTGAAGGGAGAAGGCGTTTAACTTCCCTTCACTCATGGAGGTGTGCCGCGGCAGCAGCACAACTCTAGGAGTGGCGGGAAGGCATTTTTAAATGTTTTCCCTTCACTCCCGGAGTTGTGCTACCGCCTCCGCAAATGAATGGAGAAGGCATTTAAATTCCCTTCACTCATGGAGGCATGTCACAGCAGTGCGACTGTGACTGAAGGGAAGGCATTTTTAAATGCCGAATAAATTTGGGTTTCCCGATTATTTACCCGAATCTCAATATCATACCAATACTGGGATTCGAGAATATCAGGAAATATCAGTATTTTCCAGGCCCAATGGACTGAAATCTGAAAAAAAAATAATCCTGCACTCCCCTAGTGCCTGCACATGGCAAAGATCACAAAAGCTGTGCCCACTATGCCAGTGCCTGATTAGGTGGAAGCCCTCCTTACACATAACACAAGTGGGGCATAGCTTTCTCCCCCCCCCCCCACAAAAAGGGAGGGAATTATGTAAACTGGGTTTCTGCATAATCAAACATTGGAACACTGGCAAGCCATTATATAGCAAAGGGGAATTTTCCTACTGCTCCTCTTGGTGTGTGTGTGGGGGAGGATGCCATTCCCAGTGGTAACAGATGAAATTGCCCAATACATAAGCTAGTGAAAACATGAGTGTAAACAGATTTACCACCCACAATCAATGTTCCTTTGACATCAACCAGAACCACAGTTGGTACTGGGGCACCAGTATTCATTCAAGGAAGCCTCTACATGATGTATAAGCTAGATCATTTCTGACAGGCTTAGAGAAGGACCATTATCGTTAAAGAAATGTTAAGGATGTTTCCAGACTGACTGCTTTCTGGGGTTCAGAGCTGTTGATTTAATGAATGGCGACTTGCAAGCTGCACAAAGACTGGACCAGTCCCCAAGCTGATACATGAGTCCAGTGGTCAAGGAGAAGATTAGAATGAGAAGTACTGAATGTTAAAATCCAGACGACACATTGCGGTAAGGCTGTTAAGCAAGATCCTGCATTTGTGTGTGTGGTCTGAGGAATTGGTTTCTGTACGGCAAAAGTATATTTTCTAAAGTGAGAGCATCAGGACTCAAGTCTGCCTAAAAAGTAACACCATTTGAAATACAAGCCCATCTTGTTAAATTTAAATGTGGTGTGGCAGCCCAGAGAAAGAGCTTGTGCTAAAAGACTCTTTCATATTGCACAAATTCTAGTTCTGAACTCAACGACTGACAATAAGGCTGAGCACAACCCAATTCTGGTTCAGATTAAAACTTATTTGAGTGGTTCAATGCTGAACTGCACAACCAGCTATGCAGGAAACTCCTGTGGGGACATAGCCTAAGATATTACCGTTTGAACAATTTTTTTCCAGGGGTGATGGAACAGAGGAAATATAGCAATAACTGTTGACAGAGGAACAAAATTTGAGTCCAGTGGTACCCTTAAGACCAACAAAGTTTTATTCAAAGTGTGAGCTTTCTGTTGACAGGGAAACATCATAAGAACATAAGAGATGCCAATGTTGGATCAGGCCAAAGGCCCATCCAGTCCAACACTCTGTGTCACACAGTGGCCAGAAATACCAGTGCCATCAGGAGGTCCACCAGTGGGGCCAGGACATTAGAAGCCCTCCCACTGTTGACCCCCTCAGCACCAAGAATCCATCTTGAATCTTTCAGCTGTTAACACTAACAAAAACATAACACAATGGCATTCCAATGCAGCACTCTACAGTTAATAGTTATACCTGCGGTCAATAGGTTTGGAGAACTCTGAACCCTCTTCACAGCAGTTAATTTGACAGACATGGCAGCACGTTTGCGAGCACACCCACCACTATCTGAAAGCACAAAATGACACAGACACTGGCCCACGACATAGAGAGCAAGCACATGCAACATATCACGTAGCATTGTGAGATATGGAAACAGAGACATATCCATGCAGTTAGCAACTGCCGTTGATCCTTATGGATTTGTGCATACATACCAAAGGCCGTAGGGAAGCTCTAGTTAATTACTACTGCCATTCCAAAGAATAAACGAGCCAAGAGATTTGTCAAGTGCTTTCTAGTATTGGAAAGATCGCTTGTGTCAACCTAACTCATCACAAAACAAATAAACTAAAATGGAGGATTACAATTGACACAACATTATCTCCTCAATAACAGTGTTTTAAGGAATACCCACTAAGATGCTAACCATTAAATTTAAATTTATATGGCTTGGTATACTTTAATTCAGATTTTGAAAATAGTACTTTTTGCCCTTTGTCTGTAGAAAGAAGAACCAATTAGAGGCATATTATTATAAACACACACCTATTCTTCCCCCAAATTCTAACCTATTTGAGCTACAGAGATAAAAACAGAACACGTATAATTCATTTATGGGTAAATCCTGGTAAAAATCCAAAATCTCAGAATACTGAAGTGATCAAATGTCCTTCCAATTTTGGAACATTGTTGTTCAAGGGTGAAAAATAAAAGCATGGTTGGGGGGGGGGCATTGCCTCTCAGGGGAAACAAATCTGAAGAAAATCCTGGATGAACCAAATTCTTGTCCTATTAAAAACCAAAGCAGTTGGCATCGGAGGTTGAAGTATATTCACCAGCATTCACATGAGGGTTTCACATCACACTCAGTGACTATAAATTTGGGAACAGACTGTGGATTTGCCCAAGAATGGTGGTATGTCACTCTTAGAAATTCAATACAGGAGATAAACAAAGCTGAGCAGAAGTGAAAGCATTCGGCTCCCATCTGCCCTTGGAGCCAATGGCGGACACAGGTGGGGCCCGCTTTTGCCTCCCTTGGATAGCCACTTTTGCCTCCCTTGGATGGAGGAAGAGGCAGGGCCTTGTGATACACAGCGTCTTAGCATTCAACATGGGGGCAGAACTGGCAAGCATTTAAGGCTGGCTCCGCCCCCTCCTGAGGGGCTGAGAAGAGGACACACCGTTCCGGCACTGTGATGCCAGCCCTCTGACCAAATTTCAGTTTTGCGCCGTTACCCAACGGGCATTGGACGTATTGGGTCCGGGCCATTCTTTTCAGATTGGGGCAGCCTTCACCACAGGTGCTATTGGTTATTCAGCCCCAGCCATCCAGCAGCTGGGGCATTGGAATTCATGGTGTTATAAGACTTATGTTTGTCCACTTAATACTTTGTAAGATTATTGTTCTGCTGTTAATTGTGTTTTCTTTCTAGGTTAGGCCAGTCACCATGAGAGGCAAAGAGTTATCATTTGCAGCCACAGTATGGTCTTTTGGGCAGCCCATTGGGCCAGAAGGAGTCCTATTGGTTCCCAATTGGGGCTTAGTGAGTTTGCTACAGTCAAAAGGTTGGGGTGATGGGGCTTGAAATGGCCTGGCCTCATCCTGCTGTTATTCAAGGGGAGCTGGAATCCTGCACCTCATGTACTGTTGGTCCACTTGGGTGGAAATGATCTCTGCCTTGTGAAAGGGAAGGCCCTGGTGATACAGACGAAGGCCAACCTGGAGCTCATCAGGAGCAGGTGGCCTGGTGTGTGGATCATGTGGTCTGCTATATTGTCTTGCCAGGTGTGGCTGGGCTTGGGGGATCCCAGATGTTTGGGCAGTAATCGTCAGAATGTGAACTGGGAAAGGAGGAATGCAATGGTCAATGGATTGGGTCAGTTCTTGCCTCACCCTGGAATACAGGCTGAGCTGGTCAACCTGTACAGGAGTGATGGAGTACATCTCTCACAAAAGGGCAATGACATATTCTTAGAGGACTTGAGGCAAGGGCTGTGGGTGGCTTAAAGCTGCCCAGTGGGCAAAAGGTCCTACGCAGAAGCTTGGGTTTGGCAGTAGCAGGTTAGTGCAGGAAAATGGAAACTGGATTCAGTGAGCACCATATGGCGCCTCCCCTGTTGGGGAGTAAGGGATCCATCAGGCTCAGCCTTTGGATTTTGCAGCCCAGGACATGGATAAGGGCTGCCTTTCGGACCGCCCTGGATAGCCTCGTCCCCTCCAAGTTTCACAGCTTGGGGGGGGGGGAGCTCCAGGGCAATACCCCACTTGCTATGCTGGCTGGTTGTGAGCCAGAAGGATGGCTTACTCCCAGGGTAAAAGTGGGTCACCGAATATATGCAAGGAGATGGTCTGGGGTGACACCTAGCCTTGGCCTATGTTTTCCGCATTTGGGATTTGCCCTTGCCTCAAAGGTGTAAATAGTTAATAGTGGCCCTTAGTTAAACCCATTCCTGTGTCTGCTCTTTCTTCCAACTAGGGGGGCAAGAGCATGTTTTCATTTCTACCATTTTATGGTTTAGTCACAGGTTCTACAAGATAAAAGGACTAGCAACTTTTGATAGAACCATAATTTTTTATTTTCAAATGTTCTAGATTGCTGGTATGTTCACCATCTCTGACATTATGGTCCATGAACACTTTGTGTCAAGAAGAAATTTAATCTGATCATACAGCCCACTGTAGGATTCCAATAAAAGTAATTTTAGGAAACACTACTTGGAACAGACTGTGATGAGCACAGTCTTTCTCTTTAACCACTTGCACATTATATAAAAGTATCAGATAACTACTAATTTTTTTTGCAATGATTTAACATTAACAAACTTAAGACCTATAGATATTAGCATTCTCTCAAGATAGTGCATGCTTTTAATGTGATTTGTCTTTATATCTCCCATTTATTATAAAGGAAGATACTTTACTTAATCATTTTTAAATTAGATGAATTTATCACATGCATTATCCATGTATATTCTTGCCTAAAATATTTATGGGAGGACTCTAAGGATCCATTTTAGGATATTAACTCTGACTCAGTAATTATCTATATATGAAAAGGCAGTAAATAAGTCTCTGTTTTGTTAAGACATTTATGTGGTAAACAGGCCTGCTTCAGGATAAGAGTTGGTTCTAAAATAAATTTTCAATCAGCAGAATGGAATTTCTTCTTCGCATGAGAGATACAATCAGGTTTTGATTTGCTTGCAGCTCTGTCTAGCAATCTATCATATATTTATCCTTCTCCTCCTTCAAGGAGCTCAGGTGTTCCTTGCCTCCATTTGTCTTTACAAAAACCATGTGAGGTAGGTTAGGCTGAGAGACACTGAATGGCCCAAGATCACCTAAAATCCTTCATAGCTGAAGTCTCTCCAGTCCTAGTCTGAAATTCTAACCACTACTTTATACTGGCTTTTTCAAAACACATATTACATCTATCTTACTGGCAAAGAAATAAGATAATGGTGAAGAGATAAACATGAAGAGGCTGGGGGAAATAAAGAAATCTGCAAAAAGCACTGTAAATTCTCGAAAGTAAAGAACAGAATTACAGCACAATCCTAAACAGAGTGGCCCTTTTGAGGCCATTTATTTCAATGGACTTAGAAGGGTGTAATTCTCTTTACCATTAGAGAACCAAACCCTGAAAGGAAGAGATCAAATCCCCCCACCAAACATGCTTTACTAATGGGATCAGGAATTCAAGTCTGAGAGCCTGATTAAGCTCTGCCTTTGCAATAGCCTCTGACCAGGATTCAGTTAACAAATTTACAGTGTAGTTCTAAACACTGTTCACCTGTCTAAGCCCAATGACTTCAATGAACTTAGAAACAAAACAGAGGAGGAGGAAATGATCTTTATCTCCCCAAGTTTCTTGGAGGAAGGACAGGATAAAACACTACTGAATTTTAAAATATTTAAGCAGATGCTAGTGCTGTATCATAAGGATCAGCCAGCCCTTAAAGTGGTTAATTGAATTATTCAGACTAGTTTATATGCCCTTCAAAAGCAGCACAGACTTCAAACACTGTATACTTTTATATTCTTTCCATGTTCAAGAGCATTCTGAAGAGGGGTAATGTCTGCCTCTCCCACCTTGGCATGAAATAAGACACCACGTACTCCAACATCTTCTACAATGGAGCCCTGATCATTGTTCAATGCAATAGTTTGGAAAGATAGTAATACAAAATACATGTACCTATATCTTGCAGCATGTTTAAAAAGCAATTGGTAAGAGTGTAACAGTAAATAAGCAGAATAAGTAAGGAACAATAAAATATTAGTGTAACTGTAAGCACAAATCTCTTGCAATATATGCCATTGTGTTAACTATGTATATGTGTACTGTAACCAATATATTTTACTGAAAATGTAAAAATATATTGAAATGGAACATGTATACATATATACACATGTATAAATTCATGTATTTATGTGGCATAGCCCCTGTCTATAGCAATAAACACATATAATTATTGTTCACATGTACATATATTTTAAAGAGCTATCTGAATAAATTTAGGGTAGATCAAGTATGAATATGAACAGTTTGCTTAAAGGGATTTTTAAAAGGGGGCATATTCCCCTTCCATTCATAGAAACTGCATACCTGTATTCATTTTGACTCCAGAGTTGTTGCTGAAGAAGTCTTTAGTTTTTCTGCAGAAAACAAACAAAAACCCACATTAATTAATTAATTTATTATTAATTTAATTAATTTATCATTAAGCAATTATTTATATGTGACAGGTTACGTCTGGTTTGGGGGCTCTCAGGTTTTGGGGCTTGTATCTCTTGTCATAAACTAAAAGTTAGTGCTTCCATTATGTCCCAGACCCTTTTCTCAAATGTTTATGCACTGCTTGAAATTTTTTTGCTGTGGAGTGGAAAAGTTAAACATATTTGGTGTCCAAAATCCCATTTCCTGAAAAGCCAAATGGGCTGTAGCTTAAAAACGATAAAGCCGGTAGATGTACCGAAGGGAGAAATGCATGGTTTTATTACATTTGTAAAATATAGAAAGATGCGATAGATAAATTTTACAAAGTGAACATTTAAGTTGCTCTCTGGCTCTGGATAATAGCCTTAAGGGGTTATTCCTGCAGGCACTGTAAGGATCGCTGCTCCTGAACCGATGGATTTTTGAGGTTTTAAAAATCACTGAGCACAATGAGTGCCGAATCAGGCCCATTACAGAGCCTGCCAGATACTTAGAATGCACTGAAAGCAAATTATAAATACATTAATCCAGGAAGCTGGAAGGGTTTCAGAATCTGTGGTATTCCGTCTGGGGACTTAACGCTCCATGGCATTCAAAACACATATACAAACAAACAGGAAACAAGCAATGAAGTAGCAACTGAAAGGAGACTGCATGATACTTTTTAAGTCCAAGGAAGTGCCTTTAGCTACTGATGTTGTTGTGACTGTGTTTATCCCATTAGGTGCTAAAACAGGCAAAAGAGTGTCAGTAACACAGGTAAGTGGCCATCCTAGCCAGCCAGGATCCATTCACCACATCAGCAGGAGCTGGCATTTGAAGGAAGGGTGTTACATCTGAGGTGTTTTAAGGTTTTATCACGATCAGGCTATTTGGAACAAATATTTGTATGGATAATGATACAGGTATCCTACTCCAGGAGCTGATGAATCAATAGAATATCCATTTGGGTGAATAATCGTTCTGAGGGAAGTCTTAGGACTGTCACCACATGACCCAGACACAGGTATAATCCTTTGAAGGACACAGGTATAATCCTTCTGCCTAGGGCAGAAGGGAAGGCTCAGTCAGATTTATTGTTAAAGTCAATGACAAGCACACTCAGTCATTTAAAATAAAAACATCTGAATAAGAAATATGAAATAAAACCAACAGTGGCATTCTTAAATTAAAAACCCATGACTATAACATAGAAAAAGAATAAATCAGCCATAAAACTCATGTATAATTTAAATAAAAGATAAGAACTTAATCTAAGAAGGGAAGGCTAAAATGGATTCTCCCATCCATTTCTATCAGGGTTGTGTTTGTCTGTGGATTGTTCCCTGCTGTGAAGTATGCCTAATGACTCGATTGGAGAAGAGGGCCATAGATGGCAGGTCCCTGAAAGGTTTTGTTTTTTATTCTTGAGGAGATTGCTTTTTTCTTTTTTTTGTGGAGCTGGGGACAATATTTTTCTTGGCTATTGTCATGTATGATTTTATTGGGTTGGATCAAAATTAACTTCTCCAGAGGTATAAAGATTACATCCCACGGAGCACAATTTTCTTGCTTCCTGCTGTGGCAGGCTGAAGGACCCTAAAATCTGTTTTTTAGGGCTAAAAGGGATTAATTTGGGGTTAGTCTGGATCACACAAATAAGAAGAATTCCTGACAGCAGCCAAGAGAGGGATTGTCTCCAGCGCCACAAAAAAAATGCTATCTTCTTAATAGTATTAAGAAAATTGTTCTGTTTTGTTAATAAGCCTAAAACAAAAGCCTGTTAGGGAAGAACAAGGTGAACAGCTATAATCACCCAGTTCTTATACATCTTGACTCTAATTGGTCCTTCCTGACAACCAGCCCCCGACCCTATATATGTAATGTCTGAAGATATTCTGTTCTCTGTATCTGAAGAAATGTGCTTGCACATGAAAGCTTATACCTTGAATTAAACTTTGTTGGTCTTAAAGGTGCCATTGGACTCAAACTTTGTTAAGGTGAATAATAAAGAGCAGCTGTAGGAATTTGGGAAATAGCTAACAAATTTTCACACCATTCTGTTCTTAGTAAAACTTTACTGAGATTAATTCTCTTAAAATTCTCCACAGATGATTCAAAAGACAAAACAAGCCCAGTCTGTTTTGTTCACTCTGAATAAATTGTGTTTGATAGTAACTTTGCTTTCCTTAACTGCCACAAACTATTCCAAGAGCGTCAGATTCCAGGAGTGTTTCCTTGCTGCCACAGGAGACAGCATTTAAAAATGTTCTCAGAGTCGGGAACTGAACAAATGGTAGCACCATGAATACAGGCTGTAAAATGCAACACTACACACAGAAGTTTTGCAAAGATACCCTGGGTACAGGACTCTTTGTACAGAAGGATTTTTCACCAGGAGTTTTGAGTTGTTAACTGAGGCTATAGTTCAGCTCAGCTGAAGTGATGTACAATATATTTTTGCTTATCTCTGTGATATATGAACGCAAAAACCATGGACAAAGATCAATGCAGTGTCCATGATTACAAACTGTTTGAAGGGTACACAATTAACTGAGCTGAGGCAATAACTTCACAAACTTGACTACCCCTTCCTGATGATTTCATCCATTTCTGTTGCTGGACAGGGGTCAAGCCCAATTATTACAGATGTTTACCCAGAATTAATAGGAGGATCATGGTAAGACTTTAAAAAAAATTAAAAACCAAATGACAGCATGGACTTGATCACAACGCCATGACGTGTATACCCCAAACTTGCCATAATATCATAACTAGGGGTGCCAGGCTGTGCTTGGCAACCAATATATCACATGCATTTTTTTCTTGTTTCGATATTGTGCTTGGCAACCTGCAGAAGGTTGGGGGGGGGCAGGGACATGGCATGGCCACAATGTTGTATGTGCTTCTACACCACTTCCAGAGCAAACAAGGTAGTAAAATTCAGAGGCTTTAGAAACCGTCAGTAGTCCAGCCTGGAAGTGACCACTGCATGGGACACTGTAGCTAAGTCCCAGGGGGCATGATAGGGAACCAGTTGCCTGACTAGCTGATCTGGCAACCGAGGTGACCTGGGCCTCCATAGTAAGCGAGGAATCCAGCATCACCCTAAGACTCCTTACCCTCGGCAAGGTACCAATGATGTCCCACCAAAGACCAGGAGCCTGATTCCCGATCCTAACCCCCCATGACTCAGGTACAGGACCTTTGTCTTTGTTGGATTCAAATTCAGCCAATTCTGCTGCAACCATCCAGCCTTAATTCCCTGTCCAAAATATCTGGGGCAGAGTCCAGCTGGCCAGACAGCAACAGATAGAGCTGGGCGTCATAAGCATATTGATGACAACTCAACCCAACCCCCCCGGACCAACTGGGCGAAGGGGCATATGTAGATATTGAATAACATCAGAGAGAGGATCGCCCCCTCTGGCACCCTGCATTCAAGCAGCTATTGCAGGGACATTCTCTACCTTTTAGAGGATACAGAAAGTTAAAACAGATTCCAGTGGGTGGCTGTGTTTGTCTGAAGCAACAGAACAAAGTTTGAGTCCGGTTCCAGTGGCACCTTTAAGACCAACAAAGTTTTATTCTGGGTATAAGCTTTCATGTGCATACATTGTGTGGACTCAAACTTCGTTGAGAAAGTTAACAAGTTTACCCTTCACCATTTCTACTTAAATCTCAAGTGACAAGGAAGGACAGTCTCTTATGTGATTTCTTTTTGCTCAAAGACCTATCCCTCAAACAATCCTAAGATAATTTAAGAATTCGGGGGCGGTGGGATCTGAAAAGAAACGATGGAAGCCTCAATTAGAAAAAGCTAAAGAAATGACACAAACTGAGAGCATACTATGTGGATTTTATGGGTTGTTTTTATAGCTGCAAAGGTGGCCCTTTACAGTGAAGTGAATAAAAAAGGGATCCTTTTACATTCTGAGCTTCCCCTACAAATTAAGGTTTATTTAGCCATTGAGTTGGGAATTTTATGGACGGTGCATGCAATTTTCATGGCGTCGAAATTCAACAAGAAGAAAGGGACTTTTGAATGAAAAGTGTTCACAGCCTGAAATTCGCTTTATGTTTTCTTCTTCTGGTTTCTACATGCTCCCATGCAAGCTTTAATTACATAAAATTAATTGGACAGTCCTAATTCTTTGATATGGCTCCTTTTTTTGTTCACTGGAATTCATACCATTCATATAGGACAAAAGCCATCTTGAGACGGCATACTGTCAAAAGGGTAGGTGCATTCCAAATGCAGATGAGCACTAGCTATCAATTAATGAGCCACAAAAGGACGGATATGCACACACTTAGAAAACAGAAAAGGGAGTCCCTTTTTTAAAGTTTCTTTCTGGAATGCCAAAAGGAATACCCACAGAGACATGATTCTTCAGCAATTCTTTCCCCATTAAATACCAAAGCATCACTAATTACTTTTCAGAAAGTAGACATCCCCTTGCCCCAAAAACTGGTTCATGACCCAATCCACAGAGTGTTGCAGTAACAAATATCAATCTACTCCAGTCTGTAGCAACTTGCAACCTAAAGCATCATGTGAGATCTAAAAGCCAACCCTGAACTGTGTAACAGTATGGTTTGGTGCTGCTACATGGGCAACTGCCAGATGGTTTACAGGGTGAACCAGTAGTCTTGGGAGATTCACTCCGCATTCTCATTTTTGTCACTCATTCATCCCTATTGCTTTGGCCTCCCCCCGCCTCTTTTCCACATGTGTTTTGCTCCCTCTGGGTCTACTGGAGAGAGCAAAGCACATTTTTTTGGGGGGGGACCCTGAAGCAATAGGAACACACAAGTGATGAAAATCAGAATGTGGAAGAGCCCAACTGTCAGACCCATCAAGAAGTCAGGCAACTCCGGGGAACAGCTGTAGCCCACTTCCTCTTATATAAATCCTAT